AAAAAAAAAAAAAAAAAAAAAAATTAGGTTAACTTGTCAGATGGATTGCTAAATAGCTTATATAAATTAGATTCTTTAAATTTGAAGGCTTTACATCAGAGAGAGAAGAATTTAAGACATGGATTTAATGGAGACTTGGTAAACTTGGAGATACCTCTCATGCAGAGTTAAGAATTTTAAGGATGGTTCATTTTAAAGTAATAAGTGTTCATTGTTAAAACAAAAACCAGAAAACTCCTCTCTCAAAGCCCCTTTATAATTTTTTAAAATTTCAATTGCTTTAGTGGTGCAAGTGGTTTTTTGGTTTCATGGATGAATTGTATAGTGGTGTATCTTTTGGGTGCATTGTACCCAATAGATAGTTTTTCATCCTTTACCCCACTCTCAGCATCCTCCCTTCTGAGTCTCCAGTGTCCATTATACCACTCTGTTGTGTACACATAGCCTAGCTTTCATTTATAAGAGAGAACAAGTGGCATTTGGTTTTTCATTCCTTAGTTACTTCGCTTAGGATAATGGCCTTCAATTCTATCCAGCCTCCCTTTGAGCACCACTCAAAAGAGGTAACAATTTTGAGAGCTTCTTGTTTCCAAACACTTTCTGTGTATTTACAAGCATATGTGTGATTTGCTTTAAAATGAATCATATTAAATATGATGTTATACAACTTTTTAAAATTTAGTAATATATATCACTTTCCATGTAACTTTGTATAGCACTACTTCATTGTTTTGAACTTTGTATAGCACTACTTCATTGTTTTGAACGGTTATACAGTATTCCATGGTGTGGATGTATCTAGTTTTTCCTTTTTATTATAAACATTATAGCAATGACCATTATTTTGTGTACACACACACACACACACATATGTGTGTGTGTGTGTGTGTATTTGTAATCCTGTAGGATTACTGGAGGTAGAATTGCAGGGTTAAAGGATATGTGCATTTAAACATTTGCTGGATATTTCAAAATTGCCCTTTTGAGGATGTTCTAGTTTATACTTACTTTACACGGGGATGTAAGAAAGAAATGTACTCCAGAGTTCAGGAATAAAATTAATAATATATTTTTAATTGATGTGTTGCTAATTCTGTCTTCTACTTTTCCTTCCTTTGGAATTGCTTACTCCTATCCTGTAAACTCTTGGAAAACCAATTAAATTTATTCCTTCATGTTTCCAACAACAGGTATACATACCATGTGATTTTAGTCTTTTCATCTCATTGTATATATACCCATCATTGGAAACACGAAGGAATAATGATTGTTTTATACATATCTGTGTTGTATTGAATTGTCACATAACTCCCAAGTTGTAATTGATGACTCGTTATTTTCTTTTTACAAAGTGATCATTAATCACTTGTAGTTGCAAGCTAATTGGACACAGGGAAACATATCTTCTCTCATAAGAGTTTCTACTATTTTTATTTGGAAAATGAGTTTGGATGTCCTTGTACTTAAAGGATTTTTATGATTTATGATGTACTTGACTGATGGAAGTCTACAGATTTTGTATATTTAAGTAGCTCATGAAATGTTTCAGAGTCATTACCTTGTTCGTGATGGGAATTGAGTCTTTGCTTTTTAATTTATTAGTGAAAAACTGAAAACATTATTGTTAACCATTAGCAGGGAATAGTCCTACTTTTTACAGTTGAATATTAGATCCTTACTTATGGTAGCAATTTTGTTTTGAATTGGGCAGTTGGGAAATTAAATTATATATACCCAGTGTTAGGTATGACATATTCCATAGCAGTAAATATTGTAATGTTACGAAAGCAGTTTTCAATAAGGGACCCATTGACATCAAGTCCCTGTGGTAGGCCTAGAGTTGAATAATGCTGAACTTTCTGAGGGAGTGTTTTTTATTTTTTATTTTTGAGATGGAGTCTCTCTCTGGCACCAGGCTAAAGTGAAGTGGCATGATCTCACTCACTGCAACCTCTGCCTCCTGGGTTCAAACAATTCTCCTGCCTTAGCCTCCTGAGTAGCTGGGACTACAGGTGCACATCACCACGCCCAGCTAATTTTTGTATTTTTGGTAGAGATGGGTTTTACCATGTTGGCCAGGATGGTCTCCATCTCCTGACCTCATTATCTGCCCACCTCAGCCTCCCAGCATGTTGGGATTACAGGCATGAGCCACCACGCCCGACCCGGAAGTGGTTTATTCAGGAAGTAAATAAACTCAACAGATATTTCCATCTGAGTTGTAAATAGATTCTTAGGGAATGACACACTCTTTTAAATAGCTTCTCCAGATTAAAGCATTCTATTTCATCATTCTATTTATTATTTGCTTTTATTGTCATTGCCTTTAATCATAATGATAAAAACTATCATTTACTGAACAAACAAATCTGCCTAAGGCTGTTGTCATTATTTTATGTAGAGAACCTTATTTCATCCACAAAATGAAATGTCTGATAAAAGTATCTATGGGGTGTGAAAGATGCAGACAGGAGTGGGGGCAGAAGCGAAAGGAGTACAGCCGAGGAAAGCAAATGAAGCTTTTCTTCGGTCCTTCTGAATCATGATATTTCTACTTAAACAATTTTTTTTATTTGCTTATTTTGAGACAGGGTCTCACTCTGTTACCCAGGCTGGAGTGTAGTGGTGCAATCACAGCTCACTGTAACCTTGAACTTTTGGGCTTAAGCAATCCTCCCACCTCAGCTTCCTGAGTAGCTGGGACTACAGTTGTATACGACCACGCCTGGCTACTTTTTATTTTTTACTTTGTTAGTAGGGATGAGATCTCACCGTGTTGGGCAGACTTGTCTTGAACTCCTGGGCTTAAGCGATCCTTCTGCCTTGGCCTCCCAAAGTGTTGGGATTACAGCTGTGAGCTATCACATGTGGCCTGAATTATAATGTTTTTAATGATCAATTCTGTTATTTGGAGTTGCCATGGTTGCCCAGATGATCTCCTTTCATAGATTTAGGTTGCAGTGTAGTCAATCCTTTAGAGTTTTATATGCCTTCTTTTTCAGTTCATTAACCTTCAGTTACATTTTGTTTCTAATCAGAGTTTTTCCAAATAGAGATATCAAAAAGCTTTCAGAGAGCTCTGTGAGAATTTTAAAATTTAGTATTTAATTTTCTTGGTAAACTAAAAGCTTCTGTAGTTATTTTTCATTTCATTTATTTGTTAGTTTCCATAATAATTGGTTTCCTACATCTTCTTGTGATAACCAATGACTTACCCCTTGACTATCATTGTTAACTTACAATTATATGTATATTTAAAGTGTTTTAGTCCTTTGCAGTTAATGTTTTTATTTATGCTCAAATTGTTTTATCTTTGGCTAGAGGGAGCCTACTACATGCTTAAGTCTAAAAAAGCATGTCTTTATGATTTGGATAAACTACCTGCTTTAGTTTGTTCTTACATTGCTATAAAGAACTACCTTTGACTGGGTAATTTACAAAGAAAAGAGGTTTAATTGGCTCACGGTTCTGCAGGCTGTACAGGAAGCATGATGTTGGCATCTGCTCAGCTTCTAGGGAGAACTAAGGAAAAGTACAATCGTGGTAGAAGGCAAAGGGGAAGCACACGCGTCACATGGCTGGAGTAGGAGCATGGGAAGATGTGGGCAGGTGCTACACACTTTTAAACAACCAGATCTCATGATAACTCACTGACTATATAGTACCAAGTGGGGATGGTGCTAAACCATTCATAAGAACTTTGCCACCATGATCCAATCACCTACCAGGCTCCACCTCCAACACTGGGGATTACAATTGAATATGAGATTTGGGTGAGGACACAGATTCCAACAATAGCTATTCAATTCCAGTGCCCGAATTTAATTTGCATTTATACTGATACACAGTAGTTTTCATTGTTTCCATTTAATATCAAAAGAACAGAGGTAAAAGAATAGACCTAATCTTTAAATCATCCATTTATATCAATTGATGTATTGATATACATTATATCATTTTCTATGATGTCCATTTTACAGTATTTCAGATAGGGGAAAAGTTGAGGAAAATAGAGGGAATCATCATTTCTTATCTGGTGAGGTAGTCCTACTAGACTCAAAATAATTTCTAGCATTGTAGTTAGTACCATAGTCTTGGGTGAGATTGATTAGTTTTAGCAAAATAACATCATCCATCATAGAAAATTAATGTTAGATTTAATTTTATTAATATTATTTTGTTTTTATTCAATTTTGTTTGGTTTGGCTTTACACCTAGTTAGGAGTTAGAGTCTGAAAGGGTTTAAAGCAATTTTTATGACTTTGTACTTTATCTCTTATGTGTTTTAAGACTTATCAAATTGGCTCCATATATCATTAAATTTTGTGCAGTACCTATCCTGCACAAACATTGTGTTGTGACTACTTCAAGTATAGATTTTAATTTTATTACATTTTTAGTTTTATGTTTTAGGTGCAAGACTTGTTTTTGCCATGATGCTTGGAAGAGTAATTTAAAATAATCTTTATTTCAATCATCTCCCTTTACGTAATGTAATTTTATTTTTTGGACCTTATAAATGAGGCTGTTCATCTTCAGTGGCTTCAGATATGTCTTTTTAGAGTTTTGAAATGGAGTTGCCAAATAGTTTTTGTAATTTTTGTTTTATTTTTGAAATAGTTTTTGAACATCTTTCATTCTTCCTAGATTTTAGGGGATATGTTTCGTTTCTCATGTTCTTTAATATTCTTCTGTATGTTCCATGGTAACTTTTTTCTTTTGGTGGCTGGGAGTGTGTGTGTGTGTGTGTGTGTGTGTGTGTGTGTGTGAGAGAGAGAGAGAGAGAGAGAGAGAGAGAGAAAATTCATTTCATTTTATTTCTCAGCTTTTAGTTACAGCTTAGGATTTGTTAGCAAATAAGCCTGCATACAAAGAATGCTGGCAAAATCTGCTTTTGGCATTGGTAGATAAGATTATTTTGGATCAACTCTTCTACTGATAACAACTAGAAACATGAAAGAAAAAGTAAAACATAATATTATGAATTCATCAAAGAACTACTAAGACAGTGAGGAATTTTGTAGTCAGGATCTGTCAAAAAAAACATAAGTCCAGAAGGGTAAGTTTTATCTTTGGGACTTTTTTCCTCCTTCAAGGTGATAGCTGATTCCTAAAGAGGTGGTTTAAAAGCAGAGAGGCTAGGATCAGAGTTATCAATCAACTGAAGAGGCTAGGAAGACCAAACCCGGAGTTCAGGCACCCTTCAGCTTTAATGGAGACCCCAAAGGGTGATAGTATAGGCCAAGTGGTGAATTGGAAATGAGAAGTGATAAACTGAAAATAGACCAGCCTTGATAGTGACAGACGCCCATCCTTGAACCACTTCAATTCCTAACTAGATTAAGGTGATTTGAGATTGCTGGTGACCCTAACCTGACTTTCTATTAGAAGCAGAATGAGATTTTTCTGAAGAAAGATGTCATCCTCTAGAATTTTAAATTATCTCTACAGCTTTTCATATAAAATGTCTATCACATGATAAAGAATACACAAGTGTAAGAGAATATAAAAGGTGTCTGAAAACCAAGGAAGAAGCAGACAAGAGAAACATGGGACTATAAAATAAGCATGAATAACATGTTCAAGAAATTAAAAGATTAAGAGTTTTGGAAAATAATGGAAAACTAAAAGGAACCAAATGAAAGTTTCAGAAACTGAAAAATAAGATAAATAACCCACTGACCTTTAATGGATACAGTGAACAATAGCTTGTGTATAGTTGAAAGAGGATTCATAAATTGAAAGACAAACTAGCATAAGACATACAAAAAGATGGAAGAATGAAAGATTGAAGAAATATAGAAAAGAGAAAAGACATACAACATTTGGTAAAGAGGTAACTTAAATGCAGCTGCATTTCCAGAAGGAGAGTGAAGAGAGAATGGGGCAAAAACAATGTTTGAGAAGATGATGCCTGAGAATTTACAACACATGAAATTTATTAAGCTATGGATTTTGTGATCTCTATGGGTCGAAAACAGGATAAATACAAATAAAACTCTACAGAGTGTTACGTAATGAAACCACTGACGAAGGTAAAGAGAAAATCTTAAAAATAGCCAGAGCTAAAAATGCAGATTACCTTAAAAAAGTAGCAGTAGTAAGAAATGATAGCTGACTTTGCTTTCAAAAGTTACTGAAATTGAGTTTAGCTTGAAAGATGGAAATAATAAACACAGCAAAAGTTAAGAGAGCTGATTTTACATTTTTATTCTGACACTAATTTGTATGATCTAAAGTCACTTTATATTTCTAGTCTGTTTCTCGTGTTACAGTTTGAGCTTTTTAGCTTTAACATTGTTTAATTTTGTTCAGATAATTTTGTCATAGATTACTGATATACTACTTTGTGGTCACTACATAAGACCTCTGGTCTGCTTATATGTTATTTTACTTATTTGTAAATTACTCTCAATGTGTACCTTGGTTTTCCTGGGCCTCATAGTATGTTCTGTGGATTGATGCTGAGTCTTTTTTTTTTTTTTTTTTTTTTTTTCGAGACAGTCTCGCTTTGTCACCCAGGCTGAGTTTCACCATGTTGGCCAGGCTGGTCTTGAACTCCTGACCTCATGATCGGCCACCTCGGCCCCACAAAGTGCTGAGATGATGGGCATGATCCACCGCGCCGGGCCAGTGCTGAGTCTTACAGCTGGCTGGCAAATACTCAAGGCAGGATGGTATTGCATGTACCCCAGTTTAGGGAAGGAGACAGAAGTATGTGGAAATCCTTTTCTTTTTTTCTTTCAGAAATGAGAGGGACAAAATAAGTAGATTCCTGAAATTCTAACACTACTTCTTTTAATACAGAGTGTGTCAATTTTGATTCTCCAGAACAGCTAAATCCAAACAGCCAACTGAAAAAGGGTTTGCTTTGTTTGTGACTCATATTCTGTTCCATCTGTGCCTTTCTTTCAGTTGAGGCTCCTTTCTATCTGCCCATTTCCCCAAGTAAAGCAACTTGTTCTCTCCATAAATGGTGTTCTTTTAACCCTGGCTGAATTTAGGAAACCTTGTCTTCTCAATTAATTGTTTTGTTTTGACATTCTATTTAAAGAGTTATAGATGACTTGTTCCATGGATCCATGTTTAAAATTATTGCTTTCTATCCATCCTTCAATCTAGACCTGAGGTTTGCCAGCAATTCAGGGTGTATGGAGTTTCTTCAGCTTTACTTTTTTTTTCTCTTGGCTCTTAGTCGAATCCTCTTCTTAGGTCTGTAGTTTTGTATAGCTCTGGACGTTATTCTCAGTGTTTAGCTTGTTTTTTTATTAAATGTAGCTCTTTAGGCCTAAAAATATGTTTTTATATGTCCTCTGTTGGCTGATTCCTTAATAATCTGAATAAAGCATTTGGACAACTGTAATTCTTAGTGTGTACTGGCAGTCTGATATGTAACCCAATCGTTTTCTGGGATTTGAAGTTTTTGAATGACTGAAAGAAGTGTTCTGATAATAGAGTCGAGCAGTGTACATTGTTTTAGTAGTGGCCGTCGCTGTGACAGCTGTTTGGTTTTCTATTTGTTGTAGACCTGGAGTTTCTGAAGGAACGTTCAGAAGGGAGGAAAGCTTTCTCACTTCTTTGAGTTGTGTTGACTTTGTTACGTTTCTTCGCATGAGTGGTACACCAATTAGACATTTCAATTTGGTTTTGTAAGCCCTTATATAGTAGATATCCGTTCTACCTCTGGCAATAAAAAATGGGATAGGTAGTGACAGATGCCTTTTAAAACCAGATTTTAGCGTTGGTTCTTAAATATTGATATTTACTATTTTTATTTTTTAAACACAGCTTAGTTTAAAATTTTTTGGGGGGGAAACCCAGATATTTCAGAAATAGCTTTGAAAATCTGTAATATGTTTGTATTTGGAAGTTGTTTAAGAAGAATAATGCTTCTTTCATTATATTCTTTAAATTAGTTAAAAGAAAGCTTGGAACAATCAATCGACCAACTGCGGAGTCAACGTTTATTGAGAAACTCAGGAGGGGGAAGTATTTCTGTTACAAGTTTGAGTGCAAGTGACCTTGATGGTGGCACTGGGCCAGGTAAACACTTCAGATGTTCTGAAAAACATTTTTCATTTTAAAAATATTTTTGAAGTCTATATTGAGTACATTTAATTTTTTGGAGAAATACAACCCACACGTAACTTCATGCAGATTGGATGATAGAACATGTAGTTGTCAAGCATTTTGTAATACATACTTGGAAATATATTAAAGGATCTTTGTTGTTACATTTTTTTTTTTCTCTTAGACTCTGTAGACCACATTACAGCTTTACCTGACAAAAACTTGGATTTAATTATCTGCTACCAAAGAATCAAAACAAATACATAACTAAGATTCGCTATGTGATACACTTTTTAGGTTAGGTATCTTGTCTTAGCATAATAGTTTTTCGCATGTCTTATGAAATATCCTGTGATACTTGTTAAGACCTGGTGAATTTTAGTACTGGCATGCAGCTAGATATGCATGGCTAGCTTAAAGGTTATAACAGTTTGTCTTAATTAATCTTATTATACTTTTCTATAGCACAGAGATTCATGTTTGAATCAAAAAGCCTGCAGTGAAGGGAGATGATTTAGATAATTGAACACTGGTACCTTACATTGTTAATATTACCATTGATTATAACAATGATTAAAAGTTGAGCGCTATTCTTTTTCATGTAGTTGGTTTTTATTTTCATATGCTCTTCAAATTGACTAGGTAGTTTGAAAAATTGTGTTTTTTAGTATTAAGTTATATTAAGGAGTCATAAAAGTTTTTTATTTCACAATTTATTGTTTTTATATAAGAAAATATATTGTTTCTTTGGAAAGTATAGCAAATTGAAACTTTTGAGTGTTCTATTTCCAGGTTATTTCTGTTGTTCGTTTAATCTGCTTTAAGAATAAGATTAACGCTAATTTGGTGGAACTTTGTGGCAACAGCAAGATTCTTGGAAAATAGTCTGGGTCAGGGACATTTGTATATGTATACCCATGTCCGCCATGTTTGTATTGAGTAAAATTTTAGATTGTCTCTTCTCATGCAATGTTTTAATCCTTCTCATGCAATGTTTTAATCCCTTTCCTTTTCTTTCACTTGCAAAGAGAGCCATCGTTTTCCACCTACCTCAACGCTCAAGGACTATGGAGATCCACAGGGTATCAAACGAATGAGAGCCAGGGCTGGTGTCCGGTTTGTTCAAGAGACTGATGAAATGGCTCAGGTACTTTGTACCATTTTGTAATTTGTGTGCAGCATTTCCTTATGTTTCCATTATATATAAATGACTAACACTTGAACTTTAAGGCTATATTTTAACCAGTAATTTGATCATTAGTAACTTTATACTGATATCTTTTTTTTTTGAACCAAGTAAACTGCTTTTACTTATTATTTTTTTCTTATTGAAAAATCATGGTTGTATACATTTATGGGATATAATATGATGTTTTAATATATGTATACAATGTGGCATGATTAAATTAAGCTAATTAACATCAGTCACCTTCTTTATCTCTCATTTTTTTATGGTGAGACATTTGAAATTTATTCTCTCAGTTTTTTGAAATATGTAATATATTATTGACACTGGTCACCCTGGTGTGCAATAAATCTCAAAACCTATTCCTCCTGTCGTTCTGAAACTTTGGACTGTTTGATCAACATTTCCCCTTTCTCTCCCTCTTTACCCCCTCTACCCACCACCCTCTGGTAAACATTATTCTACCCTATATTTCTGTGAGTTCAACTTTATTAGAATTCATACACAAGTAGCATCATATGGTATTTGTCTTTCTGTGCCTAACCTTTTTTACTTAACATGATGTCTTCAGATTCATCCATGTTTTTGCAAATGACAGGATTTCTCCCTTTTTAAAGGCTGAATAGTATTGCATTGTGTATATATGCTACATTTTCTTTATTCATCCACTGATACACGCTTAGCTTGTTTGCAGATCTTGGCTATTGTGAATAATGCTGAAATTAAACACTAGAGTGCAGATATCCCTTTGACATATTGATTTCAGTAGCTTTGGGTATATATCCAGAAATGGGATTAATGGGTCATATGGTAGTCCTGTTTTTAGTCTTTGAAGACCCTCCGTACAGTTTTCCATAATGGCTGTACTAATTTACATTCTCACCAACAGGGCCCAGGGGGTCCCTGTCCTCCACATCCTCTGCAACACTTATCTTTCATCTTTTTGATAAAAGCCATTCTAACATGTGTGAGGTGATATCTCATTGTGCTTTTAATTTGGTTTTTCCTAAAGTTTACTGATATTTTAAAATATTTTTAAAAAATATTTTAATAAATGTACCTATTGACCATGTGTGTATCTTCTTTTGAGAAATGCCTGTTCAGGTCCTTTGCCCATTTTTAATGGTTTTTTTTTTTTTTTGCTATTGAGTTGTTGGAGTTCCTTTCATATTTTGGATATTAGCAGTTGTTAGATATATGGTTTGCAGATATTTCTCCCATCCTGTGGATTGTCTCTTCACTTTGTTAATTGTTTCCTTTGCTATGCAGAAGCTTTATAGTTTGATGTCATCCCATTTGCCTATTTTTGCTTTTATTGCTTGTGCTTTTGGGGTCATATCCAGGAAATCATTGCCTAAACTGAAGTCATGGAGATTTTCTCCTATGTTTTCTTCTAGTGGTTTTACATTTTCAGGACTTATATTTAAGTGTTTCATCCATTTTGAGTTGATTTTTATGTGTGTTGTAAGATAAGGGCCTAATTTCATTCTTCTGGATGTATATGCAGTTTTGCCAACACAATTTATTGAAGAGCTTGTGCCTTCCCCATTGTGTGTTCTTGGTACCTTCATAAAAAAATCGGTTGACCATGAATGTTTGGGTTTATTTCTGGGTTTTCTCCTCTGTTCATAGGTTGATGTATCTGTTTTTATGCCAGCACCATGCTGTTTTGATTACAATCACTTTATAATGTTTCAAAATTAGGGAGTGTGCTGCCTCCAGCTTTGTGCTTTTTGGTTAGGATTGTTTTGGCCATTTGGGAGCTTTTGTCATTCCATGTGAATATAAGATTGTTAATATAGGATTTTTCAGGTAAACTAGATTATTTTCAATGTACAAATCATCTTCGTTTTGAGTTTTGTTATGGAGGCGTATATCTTGTAGAACATTTAAAAGTGAGCTTAATTGGACATGTTTTGTTTCCTTTCTTGTTTAGCTCATTTTTCTTTAAGCCATGCTAAAGTCAGCTGTTTTCTATTTTACTAAATTTGGTTTAGTATGAACAAGTTAATCTTTGTGTGGTTATTTTGTGTGGTTACTGGTTTTTCTACCATTAGTGTTTTTCTGATTGTTGAATCATTGATAGAGCCATTTTCTATTAAGTTACAAATTTCATACTTTATTCACTAAAAATTTCTGAAATATTAGTTGTGTGGAGATATTTTCTGCTTCTTCAGAGTTCTCTGCAGAGCTATAATTTTTCCTTTCGTTGTCTTAAGTAGCTAAATTAAATAGAAAAGGGTTAGGGAGAGTTCTGCCCTTTGATACCTTTGTTTTGGTAGTTTTAGGATTAGGTCCTTAAAGTGTATTTTAAGATACTCATCTGTAGCCATCATTTGTTACTGCATAAAGAGACAACAAAATCAAATATCAAATGCATTAGAAAACAACTTGTGGAAACTTTTCTTTGACTATGTGATTTTTTTGATAGTTGCGCCTTGCTAGCATGGACTATATGATAAAGCCCAGAACAGAGAACAGTATCTTAACAGTATTCATTTACTCTTTCCTTCTGTTTATTTAATATCTCTGTCATTGGGATAATGCTTATGCTTAGAAACAGTGATGAGCAGAAACCTTGTCTTTTAATAAGTTTGTAATCTAGAAGAGGAGCTAGCTATTAATCAAATAAATACATAAATACAACCTTAATGATGAACTGAGATGCATGCTATAGTGGAAAGATGCATAGGGCTACAGAAGTTTTTGGTAGAGGACAAGCCCCAGTCAAGGAGGGCTTTCTGAAGAAAGGCTGACTGAGCAGACATCTGAAAGTTGAGTAAGAATGACGAGTAAGAGTCATTCCAGGTAGAACAAGCTTGGCAGGAGGGAAGATAGCCCCTATAAGCAATTTAAAGAAGGCCCACAAGGCTAAAGAATTATGAAGGGCTGACATCATGTAGAGCCATGTAAGAGGGCTGATAAAATTATTTTGAAAAGATCACTCTGGCTGTAGTGTGGAAAATGGAGTCAATGTGGGTGAGCCAATTAGAAGGATATTGCTGTGTTCTGGGTATGAATTGATGGTCACCTGGATTAGGATAGATTGAGTTGGAGAGAAGGAGGTAAAATTAAAAGCTATTTAGTTGAGAAAATGGAAAGGTCTTGTAAATTAGATAGCCACGTGGGGAAGGCAGGAATGAACGAAAAGCAGATGTTAAAAGCATCCCAGGATTCTGGTTTGCTAAATTGGAAAATCGTGGCAAAACTGAAGTTTTTCATTCACTATACTACTTAACTCCTTTCTTTTTATGGTTCTTCCTCATTAAGTTCATTCTCAAGATTACTCTTAGCTCCACTTGACTTTGTACTTTCTTGAAGCCCCCGTAAAGAATTTGGGGTTTGTTTACATATCTGGCTCTCATATCAGATTGTAAGCCACTTCTCAGTAGATGGCACTGGTAAATTGCTTAATGTGCATTTGTTGAAATGAATCAATGTGTTGTTTTTGCAAGTCTGTTTAACATATTTTTATAATAGTATTTATATTCTGCATATGGTATTTACAGTTAAAGGTCCAATAATGAGAATGAACACCATATAACCCCCACCCAGGCCACTAAATAAAGCACTACTATACCCCCAACCCTCTTTTATACTCCTCCTTTTCCCAAGGGGTATCCACCATCCTGACTTTATTCTTATCCTGACATTGTTTCTGCTTTTTTTAAAAAAATATTATTTTTACTACCTACATCTTGTTTAGTGTTGCTTGCCTTTAAACTTTACATAAATGGGATACTACTGTAGTCTTTTGTAACTTGCTTATTTTATTTGAAGTTATGTTTTTGACATTCAACTTTACTAATGTGTAGGTATCTTTGATTGTTTCATTTTCACTGTTATGTGATACTGCAGTGGGGGAATATACCACTATTTACCTTGGTGTACATTTGGTTTGTTTCTCGTGTTCTCGTTATGAATAATGCTGCACCATATTTTCTTGTACGTGGTTTCAAGTGTACATGGGCAAGAGTTTCTCTACAGCAGGGGTTGGCAAACTGAGGCATTGTAGGCTGATAGAATAAAGTTTTATTGTAATTCAGCCATGCTTATTTGTATACAGTTACTTTTGCACTGCAGTGGCAGAATTAACTGTGACAGAGACCATACACCTTATAAACCTGGAATAGTCACTGTTGGTCCCTTTACAGAAAAAGCTGGCAGATCCCTTTTCTCTTTCTTTCTCTCTCCCTCTTTTTTTTTTCTTTTTCTTTTACTCTGACTAAGGAGGAAGCAGACCTCTTCTAGAGGGGTAGAATTCTGGGACAGTAGAGTTGTACTGTAGAACATATGATGGTAAATGTTATATACAGCTTTTAAAAATTTGTTTTTCTTGGAAAATTTTTTTCTTTCAAAATAGGCATTTTATTTTTTCATAATAATATCATAGAATCTGATTATTATTGCAAAGAACAAGATCTTATTCTTACCTTTGGTGAATCTTCATGGAAGAATTCAACAGAATTCTAAATGGATAACTTTGTTTTGCTTTTGCTAGCTCCATGCTTTTCATCAGTCTCTTCGAGACCTCAGCAGTGAACAAATTCGCCTTGGAGATGATTTCAACAGGGAGCTTTCCAGAAGGAGCCGGTAAAAGCAGATTATGGTTTTTATGAGAGGGATAAATTATGAGGAGAATAAGTTAGCTTCTGTAATTGATATATTTATGTAGATTTTTTAAAAAACGTTTTTTATACAGTATCTTAAAATTTATTAACAGAACAGTTTACAACCCTTTGAATTTAGAATATATCATGACTCAGTGTTAGACAAATTAATTTCCTATTTCTAAAAACACTTTAACTTAATACAATGGAATGCTGACATTATGGAGGGATACATTGTGAGGCCTTCGCAAACAGGTAGATTTGCAAATACATTGGAGAGAGAAACAAAGACTGACTCGCTAGCTGACTGACTTTTGGCACTGCACACAAAAAAAGCAGTGTAACATGGAGTTTGTCAATGGACAAAGGCCATTGTAGAATCCAAGACTTTAGCTTTTAGTTGAAATCTCTGAGGGTCAATGGTGAACATCTTTGCAATTTTGTCAATTCTGGATAGTCCCCAGCAGCTATTATGTAATTTAAAACTTATTTACTGTCTTTTCATTTTTGTCATCACCAGTGGCAGGTGGCTTCCTTTTGGAGGCTATGTTTTGCTAAAAAACAAAGAATTTTATGCCTTTTTAAGAATCACAATCCATATGCAACAAAGGTTAGGGAGCAAGAAAGCTGAATTGAAATTTGTATGCCATGTTTGCTTGCTAACTCCAGCTACCTAAATCATACCATGCACCAGTTCTGTGTTGCTGCAACAAAAATCGTCAAAATTCTAAATGTTAAATCTGTGAATATCAAGTATAGGCTGTAATAAGAATGAAAGTTGTCATCATTATCACTACTGCTATTAGCTAATATTGTTGAGCCCTTATTTCATGATTTGACTTTAATTCTAGCAACTATCATTTGAGGTAATCATTATTTTTTCTCCATTTTATGGATGAGGAAATGGGCACAGAGAGATGAAATAACTCAGCTTGCTAGAAATCAGACAGGAGGGTTATAATGGAGTCAGAATTAAAATCTAGACAGTAAGGCCCCAAAGTCTCTGCTCTTTATCACTTACAGTGTATGGTGGTTCAGAATCATTTTCACATGTGGCTGATGTGAATAAAGCATTTAAATTCCTGGATTGTGAGATACATTATTGAGCTATATTGCTAATCTTTTAAACTGGTGAGACTTAGTTAATTTAATATTTAGGTTTTTTTTTTTTACAAGTTGATAAAATTAACAGAATGACATTAACACTTTATTATACAAATGGTTTTATTACATAGTCTCTACCCATTTCAAGGAAGTATATAAATTAAGCCCTGGGAACATCAGTTACAGTGCTTGTACAATATTTTGTAAGAAGATACAGAGGAAGTTGCAGGGATGATTTAGTTAATTAGTTTAAATGGCCATTTGAATGAGCAGTATTGGACTGGGCTCTTAGTATCTGGTAATCGTCTTTGTGACCTAGAGGCATGTGTGAGGCAGAACCTTTTGTTTAACCGAAAATGGGAGTTGGGTTTCTTGGGAAATGAGGTGGCTTACCTTTGTGAATGTGTAAAATTTCTGGATCCAGTACTACTTTCCTGTATCATAAATTCTTCATGTTTATAAAAATAATGGACAGGAAGTTAAAAAGTTTAACTTTCTATTTGATGTTGAAAGATTGGTATTCTCATTCTTATTAATTCTCACTGATTTTTCATTTTTGATGTTTATTACAAAATGTACATTGAATAATAAAAGTACACTTGGAAGCAAACTTTTGGAAAGGATTAAGTAAAGTTTAATTCAGAAATCACCTACTTTTGGAAAGTATTAAGTAAAGTTTAATTCAGAAATCACCTACTTTGGATGCTATATGAAGAATTGATTGGGCTGGTCACAGTGGCTTAGGCCTATAATCCCAGCACTTTGTGAGGCTAAGGCAGGTGGATCATTTGAACTCAGGAGTTTGAGACCAGCCTGGGCAACATGGTGGAACTCTGTCTCTAACAAAAATACCAAAAAAATCAGCTGGGTGTGGTGGCACATGCCTGTGGTCCCAGCTACTTGGGAGGCTGAGGTGGGAGGATTGCTTGAGCTCAGGAGGTTGAAGCTGCAGTGAGCCGAGATGTGCCACTGCACTCCTGCCTGGGTATCAGAGTGAAACCTATCACGAAGGAAAAAAAAATTGATTTGAGGAGGGCAAAGTAGAAGTATGTTGCACTAGCATGTAAGAGTTGATGATGGCCTGATCCAGGATTGTGGCAAGAGAGAGACGGAGAGGGGTGTGTTTCAAGATACGGCTTTTGGAAATCAAAGAGATAGAATTTAGTAATAGATTGGATATGGTGGGTGAGGGAGAATCAACTAAGGATGATGCTAAGATTTTCAATTTGAGTAACTAGGTAGATGGTAATTCTGCTTCCTGTGATATCGAAGACTGGTTTGGGTAGGTGAGGTGCAGAGAGTTTGGCCTTGGATATGTTATGTTTGAAATGCCTGTGAGACATTCAGATGGAAAGTAAAATATTCAGCTAGATATTTACTATGGTGCTCAAAGGAAAAGTCTGTAAAAGGTAAATTTTAAGAGTGGTCAGCCTGTAGAAGTGTCATTTGGAGCCATGGGAATGGATAATACCAAGAGAGAAACTATAGGGAGGATATCAAGGACAAGACTGAGTTCCAAGGAGTTACAATATCTAGGAGTCTTATGATAGAAGGAGGAGCTGGCCTGAGACGGAATAGCTAGTGAGATGGGGGTAATTCCAGAGAGCATAGAACCACAAAAGCCAAGAAAGGGGTAAGAATAAAGACATTTTCAGAGGTTTAAAGTCTTCAAAAATTTACTATTTTAAGGTACCTTTTTTTTTTTTTCAGGAAATTACCTAAGGATATATAAGTAAGATAAGATTGTAACCAAGAAATAAAAACACAAAGTTTTAAAGAAATAGTAAAATTAACCTGAAGATTCAGAAAAAGTAACCCTGGAATGACAATCGTGGAACAGGGCCAGGAAGTATTCACTGTAAATTAGAGCAGGAAAGTAAGTGTCGTTTGAGAAGAAGGTTGTCAAAAAGAATGAAATAGATGGTTTGTTGACCATTCAGTAAGAAGTGGGAGGAAAATATCAATGATGTGATAAGTAAGGCACATATAAAGCCAAAAGATAATGAGAAAGCGTGGAAAAAACGAAAGCACAAGGAAGTTATGATCCAAGTGTGAGGCTGACTAAAATGTGAGCACAAAACATCAATTCTATCAATTTCATAGGATGGAATAATTCATAAAATTCATAAGATGTGTAAATACATTACGTGAAACTCTGCAGGTAACCAACAGAACTAAAAGTAGTAATAACATAATCTGAAATTAGAGAATGAGCTAAATATTTCAAAAGAGTCAATCGAAAATGTCTCGTGTTGAACATGATGAAGGTAACCAGCAAAATAATTAATAATGGGAATAGTTGTGCGTGGTTCCTGGAGGGAAGGGTAGCCAGAAGTAAGACAGTGCAAGAAAGAAAGGCTTTTTCTTTTCTTTGTAAATGTTTCTGCACTATTTTGTTTATCATGTATGTTATTAATTTGATGAGAAACAAAGTAATGGGAGGTTAGTGAGGATAGAGTTTGTACAGCACACTCGGAGATAATTTCTTTATGAATTGCTAGAAAGAGGGTGTAAGATCAAGAGGTTTTGTTCTCTATTGTCCCTTTCTCTTACTTTTTTCTTAATTTAAAATGGGAGATATTGCAACATGTTTGTTTATTGAGGGTGATGTTCCAGAGTAGTGGTGGTTCTCAGAGTTTGGTCTCCAGACCTCCAGACCTCTATTCCTGCATCACCTAGGGATTTTAGGAAGGCACATTCTTGCTCCTCATCTGAGATTTGCTGATTTGAAATTTGGGGGCGGAGGGAGGGATTCAGGAGTCTGTTTTAACAAGCCTTCCAGGTGTTTCAGATGTTTATAACATTTGAGAACCACTAGAGTAGAATGTTTTGTAATAACATAATTGTCATGTTATACATTTCACTAGTTCTGTACATTTTCTAAATATCCAAGTAAAAATCTTTTTTTTCTTTTTGGCTGAGGTCGGATGCCGAAACAAAAAGGGCTTTGGAAGAATTGACTGAAAAACTTAATGAAGCCCAGAAACAAGAAGTGGTGAGACCTCTTTTTCAATAAAAAGTTTTATTTCATACATAGGGGGTAGGTGGGCTGGTCATAATTACAATGAAGCTTAGTAGATTTTAACCTTTTGGGCGATGTGTCCCATGTTGTCTAAAAGTATGTTCTTGTAGCTCTTAAAAAATGTTCGTGAATTTTGGCTATTTATATTTGGTATATTTATGTTTATGTATATTTATTTGGTATTTATATTTAGGGAAATACATTACAGTATTAGCATACTAGAGATAGAGTCAACATTTGTTTTAACTGTTTGAGTTTATCATGACTATTTGAAAGATAACTTAAGTTTTCCTGGCTCTGTGATTTTTCCATAGTTTTTATTAAATGATATTTGAGGAATGCAGAATGCTTTTCACAGTGGTTTTGTGGCACTGCCCATTTTCAGGTCATCTCACATGTGTAAGTTATAATTGCTACAAAGACCTCTTTGCTGTCTGTTTTTGTCTGATATGGTTCCAGTTGAAAATACTCCTAATTCCCAAGCTTTATTATTTCAGAGTCATATTGTTGACACTCATTGTTCAGTGATTTATTTTTATCAAATCACCATCCTTGGTGGAATTAAAGCAAAAAAATAGAATCTATATAGTGTTCATTTCTTTATATCATCAGTTTTTCTTTTTAGGAGAAAACTGTTAATGGTCCCTAAACGGTTGCAAATTTGTCAACTTCAGGAGTGTATTTATTTGTGTATTCATTTCTCGTAATACCTTTTTTTTTTTTCAAGATAAGGAAAGTTGGCAGGATTTTTTTCTTAATATATTTTATTCAAATTGAAAATTTCCTAGTAAAAGTGGATAATTTTTCTCCAGTTGTTAATTTGTTTATAGTTCCTTACATGGATATGTTGAGTTCATTTTGGAGTTTGAATTTATTGGCTGCATGTGCTAAGAGATAGGTATACCCTATTTTCAAAAAGATCAACTTAGTTGCATTTTGTTCATCTTTATTGTTCTTTGGTATTCTGTTGTATGGATATATGGCAATATATTTCAATATTCTATAGCTACAGATAGTTGGATTATTTTAAATTTGGGGCTACTGTGGATAATACTGTGATGACCACTCTTGGTCAATATCTAGTGTGCAACTTAGTTGATCTTTTTGAAAATAAGATATTTGAAAATTTCTCTTGTAGTGAAATTTACCTATTTCAAAAATATGAATAAACACTTGGCTACATAAAAGTACTTTTCTTTTGTGGTTTTGGTATTAAGCATTTTGTGAAGAGCCTTTGAAAGGTGAAGATACAATACTTTTCTGCTGAAGTAGACAACATCTTTGCAATTAATGTATGGCAATGCGGTAGCTAATGTGTGATGTCAAGATAGATTATATTTCTTTTTTTGCATAAAGTTGTAGATTTTTTTCTGGCCTACGAAGGACACCTTCAATTTAAATTGTACCAAAATATCTAAAACATCACATACTTCAAGAAAAGGTCTTTTCTGAGATTAACAGATTGGTGCTTTTCGTAGTTAATTGCAGTAGTTCACACAGCACGAACTCTGTGCTATTGTCTGATTTACATACTAAATAAGAGCTGAAGTACACATTTAAGCATGCTGCTCTAAAGTCCTCTTTAACTTCCTAAGTAATATTCTGTCTCATAAATTTGAGAGTGGAACCTGTTACGTGACAAGGGAAACTGCTGAAGCTTTATCTTCTTTTATTCTTGTTTTTAATTTTAAAAATTTGGAGGTATACGTAAAGAAAACATGTATCAGTGGTATAGCTTGATGAATTATCATGAGCTGAACATGCCTATTTAATCACATCCCAGATCTAGAAATGGTATATTACTAGCATCCAAGAAAACTTCCCATTTCTCTTTCCAATTACCAATTCCTCTTTGCTTTCTAAAGGTAATCACTATTTTGGCTTTTAACCCTATAATTTCCCATTTTGAACTCATTGTATTAATGGCACCATATAGGACATGTTTCTTTGGTCTCTGACTTCTTTTGCTAATCATTAGGATTATAATATTTATGGGTTTTGTGTCAGATTCTTGCATTTGGCTCATTTTTATTGTTCCTTGGTATTCCATTGTGTGACTATATGGCAATATATTTTAACATTCGATAGCTACAGACAGTTGGATTATTTTAAATTTGGGGCTATTATGGATAATACTGCTATGACCACTCTTATTCAATATTTAGTTTACATGTGCATGCATTTCTGATGGTATATAACATGGAGTGCAGATCCCAGATGCCTTCAAATTCTGTAGACACCAAAAAATAGATTTCCCAAGTGGTTGCACTAATTTACACTCCCAATAACAGTGTATGAGAATGCATGTTGCTGTTCTTTCCAACACTTGCTATTATTTGTCCTTTTAATAATGGCCACTATGATAGATGTTTATGGTATCACATTTTGGTTTTCTTTTGCATTTCATGATTACTTCTGATGATAAACGTATTTTTATATGTTTGTAGGCCGTTGGTTATTTTCTTGTTTGAAAGGCCAGTTTGCATCTTTGGTCCACTTTTCAATTGGGTTGATTGTCTTTTTGTTTTTGTTTTGTAGGAGGCCTTTATATATTTTCTTTTTCTTTTTTCTTCTGAGATAGAGTTTCACTCTTGTCATATAGACTGGAGTGCAATGGCATGATCTCAGTTCACTGCAACTTCCACCTTCTGAGTTTAAGTGATTCTTCTGCCTCAGCCTCTTGAGTAGCTGGGATTACAGGCGTGCACTATCACGCCCAGCTAATTTTTTTGTAGTTTTAGTAGAGATGAGGTTTTGCTATGTTGACCAGGCTGGTCTTGAACTCCTGAACTCAGGTGATCAGCCCACCTTGGCCTCCCAGAGTGTTGGGATTACAGTTGTGAGCCACCATGCCTGGCCTATATTATTTTCTGTATGAGCACTTTGTCAGTTTTGGGTATTGCACATACCATCTCCCATCTTGCAGCTATTTCTTTCAGTTTTCATAATGTTTTTAATGGGACCTTCCATCGAATTTTAATCCAGTTTAATTTTCCATCTTTTCTTTTGTGGTTAGTACTTTTTTGATCTGTTTAAGAAGTCATTCCCTGTACTTAGATAACAAAGATGTTCTCTGATGTAATTGTTTAGAAGTTTATGGTTTTACCTTTCACATTTAGGTGTGATATTTACTTGGAATTGGCATTTGCTTGTGGTATGAATTAGGAGAAATACATTTTATATGAAAGTTTAATTGATTCAGTTCCATTTATTAAAAGGACCTCTCTTTCCCCACTACTTTACAGTCCTATCTTTGTTATAAATCAGTTGTTCGTATGTGCAAGCATTTGTTTCTGGACTCCTTGATCCCCGGGTTTTTTGTCTATCAAAGTGCCACTATTCTACTATCTTGATTACTGTTGCTTTATATTATAGTTGTGATATGGATAGAGTAATTCCTTTCATGATATTCTTCAAGCTTGTCTTATGTGTTCTTTGCCTTTTGCATTTCCATATATATTTTGAAATCAGCAAATGAAATTATTAAAAATCTGGGATCGTGATTAGATTACATGGTTTCTACAGGTCAATTTGAAGAGAACTGAAATCTTTATAATATCTAGTTTTCCAATTTATGAACATCGTATATCTTTCCAATAATAATTTATAGTTTTTTAAATCTAGGAGTTAAAAAGATTTTTTTTAACAACTTTTTTTTGAGGTGTTATTGGCATATAATAAATGGCCCATATTTAAAGGGTACAATTTGGTAAGTTTTGATGTAAGTATATACCTGTGAAACCATCCCCACAATCAAGATAAGGACACACCCATCGCCCCCAAAATTTCTTACCCACCGGGCCCTGATTTGCCCTTTCTTCTTGAGTTTTACCTTTAAAACTCAAGTTTAAATGTAATTATCCTTTTATTTATTTATTTTTAGTAAGTTGTATTTTGTGTATTTAAGCTATGCATACCTAGCAGTGAGATTGCTGGAACACGTGGTAGCTCTGTTTTTAGTTTTTTGAGGACCCTCCATACTGTTCTCAAAGTTGTGCTTATGCTAATTTATATTCCCACCAAGTGTGGTAGGGTTCTCTTTTTTCCACATCCTTGCCAGCATTTGCTACTTATTGTCTGTCTTTTGTATAAAAGCCATTTTAACTGGGGTGAGGTGATGTCTCCTTGTAGTTTGGATTTCCATTTCATTGATGATCATTGATGTTGAGTACCTTTTTGTATACGCCTGTTTGCCATTCATATGTCTTCTTTTGAGAAATGTCTGATTCTTTTGCCTATTTAAAAATCATTATTAGATCTGTTTCTATAGAGTTGTTTGAGCTCCTTATGTGTAATGGTTATATTGTTTTTATTTTTTATTAAACTTTAAGTTCTGGGATACGTGTGCAGGATGTGCAGGTTTGTTACATTGGTATACATGTGTCATGGTGGTTTGTTGTACCCATCAACCTGTCATCTAGGCTTTAAGCCCCACATGCATTAAGTATTTGTCCTAGTGCTTTCTCTTTGTTTGCCTCCCACCCCTCAACAGGCCCTGGTGTGTGATGTTCCCCTCCCCGTGTCCATGTGTTCTCATTGTTCAACTCCCCCTTACGAGTGATAACGTGGTGTTTGGTTTTCTGTTTCTCTGTTAGTTTGCTGAGAATGATGATGACCAGCTTCATCGATGTCCCTCCAAAGGACATGAACTCATTTTTTAATGGCTGCATAGTATTCCATTGTATATATTGCCACATATTCTTTTTTTTTTTTTTTTGAGACGGAGTTTCACTCTTGTTACCCAGGCTGGAGTGCAATGGTGCGATCTTGGCTCACCGCAACCTCCGCCTCCTGGGTTCAGGCAATTCTCCTGCCTCAGCCTCCTGAGTAGCTGGGATTACAGGCACGCGCCACCATGCCTAGCTAATTTTTTGTGTGTGTTTTTAGTAGAGACGAGGTTTCACCTGTTGACCAGGATGGTCTCGATCTCCTGACCTCGTGATCCACCCGCCTCGGCCTCCCAAAGTGCTGGG